GAACTGCTGCGTCGTTAAGTGCTCCAATATTTATGCGTCGTATCTTGTGGGGACGACGTTTCACAGTTTTTCACCTCGCCGATGTTTTGTGGGACAGCGACAACGATGGACCGGTCGCGTAAGACGCGAGAAATTTGGTCTCCGGATCATGTCTGCCACTGTGTCGGCACGGCTGACATATTCTACAGTGCCGCTTTGCGCTCTGCGTTTGTTTTCGTACCAGTAATGCCATCCCACATTCACGGGTATGCAGTGCGAACTTCGTTGAAGGAATGCCCTCCAAGGAAGTTTCGTCCTCCTCGTACGTGTCGATGATATTTCCGGACCAGTATGGCACGCAGTCTGTACTTCATGAAGAAAGATTCGGACGGTACAAAAAGGGACCAATATGAACCTAAGGAAAACTACAATGAAACTTGGAATGAATGGACAATCGATGTTTGAGTATGGAAGTTTATGTGGTGTGCTTTCTTTTTTGATCGGCCTCCTTTTGGATGTGGAAACACTGACACCCCGAGTCTTGTTGACAAATTGTTTTTCTCGGCTTTAGAGCTACCTATCGCAAAGTTCTTCGAACTGGAAGCACCGTCCACTGGTACCTACCTACCTGTAAAGTGTGCACCTCCCGGCCATGATGTGTGGTATTCTCTTGACAGCCTTTGACGGTCAAAACCGGTTCCCATTTAGTTACGCCGCTCAAAAATATTTCCACCTGGTTAAACTATGCCATCTTTTTTAGGTATAATAAGTGTTTCGTCAAGTTACGGTGGTCCAAGACCTGTGTGCTGAAAATCAGCCCCTCGCACAACCATATTACTACACAACAGCTGACCGCAAAAGCCTTTGACGGCCAAACCGTGTGTTAATTGGCCGGCAAACTTGGTTTTCTCAGCTTTGAAGCCACCTTTCGTAAAGTTGCTTCAATTGGAAGTACAGTGCAGTAGTCTCTTCCTACCTGTAAAGTCTCCATCTCCCACGACCAGTGGTATTCTCTTCATAGCCCTTTCACGGTCAAAACCGTTTCCCCATTCAGTTACGCCGCCCAAACCTAATTTCCACCTGGTTTCCCTGTGCCACCTATTTTTGGTATTATAACTGTTGTGTCAAGTTACGGTCATGTCCAAGAAACTGTGTGTCCAAATCTGCCCTTCGCACAGCCCGGTTATAACACAAGATTTTGGATCCAATATTGGATATTCCTGAGAGCTTTATTCCTTTATTCGTTAGAACCATAACTTTCACACCTGCTGTCTTAATAAAACTTGGCCCACTTAGTGAACATCCCACTCACCTCTAAATATCATCGTCCCAGCAGTCCTACGTTTACAGCGACGAGCGAAACAAATTTCCCACTGAGAGCAATTATGGTGGCGGCCGTCTTGTTCTTCGGAAAATTTCTCAAACCCCTTTTTCGACCACAACTAAAGAAATTACCCCTAATAACAACTCAAACTCAATATATAAGGAGGGGAGAACAGCCTAAATTTCTTTCTCAAATCTCTCCCAGCACTCATGCAACGTCACCCTCAACTTATCGGCTCAAAAAGCAAAAGTTCCGTCCGTGCGCGCTTTCGCCGCCACGGCTTCGCACGCGAAAAGGCGCCGCAGGCTGCTGAGCGCGCCTCACTGTCGAACGCCAGCTCCTCCGCTAGCGGCGCTACGCGCGTTTTTGAAAGCGCCCCCTATAGTTCCCGCACGGAGCGTATATTAACATCCCAGCGCGTCGTGGAAATTGGAACCCGCAAATTATTCCAAAGCTTCAGCTTTGACCTGAATCGCGAAATATTGAGCCCGCGAAAAATAAGTCTACCTTTCTTATTGGAGCACATTTTTGCGCCCGCAGTCCTGCCCCCCGGTGGTCGCGGCGCTAAGCCACCCCCTCGCCTCCCTTGTAGCATGGAGGGAAGTTGGGCGCACGTGTGTTGCGCGTCTCAGCCACTGGGAAGCAGGACCGCGGGTGCTCTGATGCGCTCCGATAAGAAATTGAAACCTACAAACGCGTACAAATCGAGCATTTATATGGAACGCCGTAATATACTGCCCCTGCGTTAGATCCTTCCAAAAAAAGTTGATTTAGTGGTTTTCGATGACTCTGAGCAAGTTTCGACTTGGAACCATATGTCTATTTTCATTAATAAAAAAGTTAATTAACGAATTTTAATAAATTAGCCGACTGATCGTTACGATTAGCCCCCTATACTATGTCCCCCTGGCCGTATAACTCACCTGCACAAACCACATAAGTCTAACTTTCACGGCTTTTTTTAAACAAATCTGCTAAGTTTAAAAAAAAGACGCCCTGCATATATATATATATACAGGGTGTTTCATGAAAGGTGGACAAATTCGATATTGCGGAAACTAAGCGTCGCAACAAAAAAAGACTCAAAGAAAAAAGAAATCTAAAACTAAGCGTCGCGCTGTCATCGCGCGACGCAGCAGAGGCTGGTTGCACTATTTCTCCATGGGGTGCGGTGCTGTCGGGGCGGAGATGCGCTCCGATAGGACAAACCGAAGCTTAAAAACCTGTTGAATTAGTGCGGTTTTTCAGAAAGCCGTAAAATGCTTCGCGTGCCTTCTATCGTTTTGCAATTTGTTGATTCAGTGTTTTTCGATGATGCTGAGCAATTTTCTAATTGAAACCATGCCCTTAAACACAATATTAAATAGTTAATTACGCAAAAATAATTAACAACTTAATTATCCCGGACTTTAATCATTTTCCTAAATAGGCCCCTGGCCAAGGACCAAAATGACACAAGCCTTTTTTTTTGTTGCGATGCATACTTTCGCAATATCGAATTTGTCCACCTTTCGTGAAACACCCCGTATATATATATATATTTTTTTTTTTTTACTGTCGGATTAGGATGCAACACGTTCAAACACTCATCCACAAGTGCACATGGGGAAGAGGGTAATTCTATATAGGTTATTTTTAAAACCAACTTTTGGTTTTGCACAGCCTTTATAGCAGTAAATTTACACATCTCCCCTCAATGACATTAACATTTTCATAGTTTTAAGAACTTTTCAATCCTAAATATAACATTTCTCTGAAATCCAATAAAATAGACATTTTCACCACCTCTTTTGTGAGAGAAAATTGCACGCCAACCATTTGTCAAACACCTGCTGCCTAAACCTCTGTAATACCAGACAGAAATAGCAGTGTGATTGTGCTCCCCTCACTGGCGACGTCACGATAGAGTTTCTCCATTGGCTTTTTCCAGCATGGACAGATCGAACTTCATTTAGACGTTTCACTTGTTTTTAACAGATTGGCAGCGTGAGTGGAACTCCGAGATTAGTCCAAGCTAGATTCAACGTCCAAGGCAGATATAGTTTATAAAAAAAAAAAAAAAAAATCATTGCAGCAATTGTGAACAACAAATCGCAAAATGTTGGCTAGTGCTAGAATGTGCACTATTTTCTCTCAATATTATTAGCGCTGCTCTTTGAACGTAGGTCGCAGTGGTCACAGCTGGCTTGAGTCTGTGATTGCCACTCTTGAAGCTGTTCCAACTGTAGGAGGTTACTCAATTCTTAAGGCTCTGTTACACTCTGACGTCGAGCGTAGCAAACACGGCGTAGCGCAGCGCACACAGATGCTGATTGGTCACAGATATCGAGTTCCTGCTCGTTGGCCAATGAAAGGCGCATTGTCTGCGCTATGCTGCGCTCGACGTTGGAGTATAACAGAGCCTTTAGCACGCGACTGCAAAGTATTCTGTGCATAGGCGAGAGCGTTTCGTGCGAACACCAGTTCTATCTGCACAGAGCTCGCACAAAAGCCCCTTGACGTGGCAGGCCTCCACTGCGGGCTGGGGAGCGCATTTTCTCCCCTTACGAAAACAAAGGTAAAAAAATTGCGGTCAGTGTGCAGGTGAGCTGTTGAAGTTTACCATGATGATTTTAACTCGAGACTGGGGCAGAAGAAGGGAAGTGTTTTTTTTTACTGTGGAAGAGAAAGTAGCAGTGACAGACAGCATCTCCATCTCTAACTCAACTAATAATTTTATTCAACCTACCTTCTTACATACAGAACTGCAACCGCCACAAAACCATCGAACATCCTGTTTTTCAAGGTCGTGCGCACAACCCTCGCCTACATCCAGTTTGTTTTGTGATGTGGGTGAGGATTGTGCATGCAACCTTGAAAAATGGGATGTTTGGTGGCTTTGTGGTGGTTGCAGTTCTGTATATAAGGAGGTTGGTTGAATAAAATTATTAGCTGAGTTAGAGACACTGTCTGTCTCTGCTACTTTCTCTTCCACTGTAAAATACAAAACAAAAAAATTTCCTTCTTCAGCCCTATTCTCAGGTTAAAATCATAATGGAAAAAAAGAAGCTTTTTCTGGCACTGTTCGTACAATCTACCACGGAGCACAGATTGCTACCCAGTGCAAAGGAACTTTGAACCTTGAAGCTGCGAAAACATAATCTCGATCGCTGGCGACCCGGAAAGCAGCTTTGCAGCTGCCTAAGTCGCTCGTCCGCCTTCCCGCGGGTGACGTGCGCAGGTAGGGAGAAGTAGGAATTTTTCATTATTGTCAGTAAAGAGTCGCTTCCTGGAACCCTCACGGCCAGCGTAATTTGAAAATTCAACAACTTCACGGAAAAAATTCATTTTGATAAAATATTTTGGCTATCAGTTGAGAAAGGGTTATTGATGTGGTCTGCCAATTTCCATTTTAGCCAGTGGAGTGCTGGCTTTAGAGTTGAATGGGTGAAAGCATATTCACACTACCTCTGTAGAGCTTACTTGAGTGTGTCAAAACACTATTTTGGAACCATTCCTGGCCTGAACAATTAATACTTTTACTGTTATCTGTGGTCTCATCATTGGAACTTCAGTAAGGAAGCATTGTTGTCTTTTTGTGTTTGTTTTAGTGAAAAATATTTGTCATTTGTTCTACAAGTTAAGCAGCAAAATAGTGTTAGGATGTAATGTCATGGCAAAAAGCGCAGTCTCAAGAACATTTAATTTTTAATCGCAGGCAATGTCAAGAGTGTGTGAAGACAAGTTGGGTGAACTTCACCGGAACGGCTTCAAAAAGTGGTCCAGCCTGGACAATGTGAACAATGTTTCTGCCCGCAGGAGCACAGCAATCCTATCCTGATGATACTGTCGTCCATATGTGCTGCCCCCTTCCCCCTAACACATTCCCCGTGTTGGGTTTCTGCATTATTTTTATAGGTTTGTTTTGCTCCTTATTGCTTGTTACTGTCATAGGAAAAAAAAGAATTAATTCTGTTTCAACAATGGTGAGAGGAACAGGACATGAACACTTTTAACTGCGCTGCGCACAGTTTAAAAGTTGGCTGTAACATTGCCACGACACGACGTCAGCAGTGAAGGTGTTGTAAAATTATGTTATTTGTGGCTCTTTTCGCACAATTTGTTTTTTGTTGGTTGTTTTCTTGTTTGGTTGTTGAAATGGGGAAAGGAATTTTTCAATGTGCTAGTTGCTTTTCTTTTGTTTATTTTTAGTTCAGTTTTTCAGATTGCTCGGATGGGCACTTTTAAATTGGTGGCCCCATCTCCAAAATGTTTTTCTGCAAACTGAATTTTTGTTTCTGTAATCATCTCACCCTGCCAGTGGAAAGAAAAAAAATGCATTCACAAAATAATTACACAAGCATGTTAATTTTATTATGGGGAAACTTGTATAAATTTCTGATAATAAACAAGTAAATGCATGCTAGATGGGGCCTTTAATTTCACAAGTTTTGAATTGTGTATTTAAAAAAAAATTACTGAAGGAACAGATGGCCATGAATGCATGCAGTGTGGAGCTGCATGAACCAGGACAGATTTTGAGTCTTTAATATATAACATTTTTTAAAAACATTGTTGCACCACAACTTCATACTAGTGAGCCCGTCAATCCTTGCCATGTGTCCCAAAGAGTGCTGTTCACCTGGGCTGCAGGGAAGTATTAGATCTTGAGAAGCAACTGGTGATAAGCATGCCAACTCCAGTGAAGGTGCTTATGAGGAAAGAATACATCACTTCAGCACCAATTAGAATAAAGTCTGCATACGAGCAATGTTGGATGCTAGCTTGATTCAGTCTGAGAGACAAGGCCTACATTCAAATGGTTAATAACAGCACTGGTGAAGTTATGAAATCTAGGTTCATGTTTCAGACTTAGTAGACTATGAAGTGCAGTAGGAACTGGCCTTTTCCATCCTTGCACATTAATGTGTTTTGGTAGTCCTGTGTTCACTACTCTCCAGTCTTTGCTGTGCTCAAGGGAATGCAGGGGCTAATGCCTCCTGTATTTTTTAACTTGTAAAATACTGTAGAGCTCAGATTCTATGAAGTGAAAGTTATCCAGAATTTCTCGGTGCTGTTGTCTTTGTCTCTTTGGTTTAAAGTGGCGACATCTTTGTATCTATTAAATAGGTATAAAGAGAACTTTGAAAACCCGATAATAATAAAAAAAAAGACAAAAAAACTTGCTGATGCTGTAGAACAGTGTGTCGTGCCCACTTCCCAACAAAGACTCAATGTTGCAGCCTCAAGAAAGATGTATATGAAATCTCCCCAGCAAATATCATGCATCCGGTGCCAACGTCTGAAGAATGCTTTGTTTGTCTTCACCCTCTTGCAAATAAATGTTGCTCTAATGACAGGCCTTCAGTTTTGGAGGATGTAAGGTTCATTCCAACATGGAAGAAGCATGTTTGCAATTCATGAGCTCTAGTAAAATGAAAAAAAAAAAAAAAAAAACTGATACAGTATTATTACATATTTTTATAACATGTTCACAAATTCAAGCTCATATAATATAGTCTACCCTTAGCGTTGACTGCAGCTAAGGCTAAGAGCTCTTTGCTTTAGAATGTATCTATGCTGCACTGACACTTGAGCAGTGAAGCACCTACCAAATATACATGGTGCAACACTGTTGGTGCAAACAAGCGATTGCCAGTTTTTACTATTTTTATATTGAAATGCAATGGCTGCCATAAAAATTACTAGCTAGTGTGGTGGAAAGTCCTCATTCAGGGTAGTAACTTAAGTGGCAAAGATTGGTGCTCATCAATACTTTGCCCAAGTAAAATGGAGAAAAACAGCCATCCAGTTTGCTGCAACGGATTTGCACTGTGTACCAGCTCATGCTTGAAGCCGTCACTGCAGTCCATACTAAGGAGAGGCAAAGTACAGCAACTACATTTGAGCAATTGCTTAGGTTGGCTCAAGTTATTTTTGACACACTGTGTACCCAATTTAAACATACCATGAACAATGGTATAGTCATGGGCTTAACATTTTGTGAATTTGCCAAAATGCAGTTTTGTGGAAAGTTTAGCAGAAGAAACTAAGCAATACTTGCTGGGCCCAATGATTTATTTGTGATCCATTTTTGCGCAATTGTTTTTTATTCTTGAATTTAGCATTACAGTTCCGTCTCTTGTCAATCTATGGAATAAGTCTGATTTGTTCAAACTGGAAGTTGTAACTATTCCTGTTTAACACAGCACAAACATAAATGAAATAGTGTCATCCCAACATGGAATATGCTTATGAAAGTCACCAACTTGGGTGGCAAAACTTGGTGCAAGTCACTAACCTTCACAAGAAAAATGTGAAAATGTGCCGCTATCAGGTTTGCACTGGGCGCGTTCAGTAGCGGCCCCGGAGTTAAGGAGTCACTGACTCCTTCCACTGGACGGCCAAAAGTCAATTCCGGTGCACGTAACTCCGGGGCCCCGGGGCTTCGGAGTCAAGCTCCGAAGCACCGAGTCCGGAGACGGTGCACGTTTCATAACGTAAACCACATTTCATGAGACGTATGGCCACAAGGTGCCCATTTCATGATTTTATGTTCTGCAATGAATTCCTTAGTTCAAGGACACAATCACGATTTAACTTTTAATTGTGCGACACAAAGTTGTACCAATTACGGGTTTATTATGCGACCTACCACACTTCGCGACAGAACCTTATACCGTGTAAATATATCAGCTTGAACTTTAGCGTTGTACTTAAACACGAAGAAAGAAAGGACAGGAAAAGACAGTATAGTTCTAAATTTCAAGCCGATATATTTAGAGTTATGTACCAACAAGCTCAACTGTTTAGTGTTGTACTTAAACATTTTGATTCAGGTAAAATATATGACTGACAAATGGATGTTGAGTCGTAAGAACACGTCATTATGTATGTTAATGTAGATTTTCTTTTACTGTTGCGTCGAAATTAAATGACAGATTTTCATATTCTTGGTACCTGAAAACAAAAGTGAATTGCACGGACGATAGGAGTAACTATGTAGTTAATCGTTTCACGGCGTAAATAGTGCCTATTGCCAGAACAATGCGGAAAATATATTCTCAATTTAGCGGTTCAAACCGGTTTGAACCGTTATTTTTTGCTCCCCAGAACTGAACCGGAACCGAACCGATAAAAATTTCGGTTCGACACTCTGGTTTAAAGTTTTCCTGCAAAACACTGTTAAAGAAAGATTTATAGAAAGACTGAAAGCGACTAATATATACGATACAAACAAAACGCATTTAGCATTATAACTATACAGAAGGTGTTTTTAGTGCTCCAGATTTAAAAAAAAAAAACTGGGAAAACATACCACACCCTCGGGACATAGCAACCACTTCTGAAATCAATAGAAAATGTTACCAATTTGAAATACTTATCCTTTGCCACACACGGTAAGAAAAAAAGGTTTCACAGGTAGAAGGCAGCAGCGGAGAAAGTTTTTAAAAGAAAACATTGCGGACTGCCGAAATTTTTACAAAAGTATCCACCAGATGGTTCATATCCCAAAACCTGCTGCAGCTTGGTAAGAACCCATTCTCAAACCTTCTTCTCTCCTAGACTCCAAAACAATGGCGATCCTATAGTTTGTTTTACTTTATATGCCAATGAAGCTGGAGCTAGAAGTACAAACACATGCTTGTTCTAAATTATGCTTGCACTGCCCGAGCGTGCATGCTCAGCAGGGACGCCGATAGCCTGGAGCTTGCTTTTGTAGCTTGCGTTACACTTGCACTTAAGGCAAAATGGAGTTTACGACAGCTGATGTGGCATGCCAACGACCCAACAGTCTGTACACCAAAAGCTGCTGAAACTAATAGTATGTTTGTGCGATTTTTCAGCCTGCACAGTAATCAGAAGAACATACATCAATTCTCAAAATGCTTACGGTGCAACAGCAGGCCAGGGAATTCATACTATTTGTCATTCAGACAGAGGTGACATGTCCCCGAATGGTGTATTTACTAGAGTCCTAAAAAGCGGTCCTTCGATTTCCGCCCCCCGACGTCGCATCAGTGTCACGTCGCCGGCCACTATCCTGGCGTCGTCGCAGCAGCGGTGGTGTATGTGGCAGATGCCTGTTCTGCTACAGGCCGCTGTCCAGCTCGACAGACCACAAAAGCTTCATCAGCCAGGACTCTGTACTCCGCCATGACAGTGGCACTCGCATTAGCTCATGCTTTTTAGGAGGACTTCTAGCCTCAACCGCCGGGATTGCAACATCTGACAACATGGCACGCCGGCTTGTGCGACGTCACTTGCTGCCACTCCAGGACCACTTTGGATGTATGGGCGGGATAGGACGCTCAATACGCCAGTCAAAGAAGTGTTCTGTAGTCATTGGTACAAGCTCTTCCATCGACAGTTGCTTCCACCGCACAAATGTTTGCGCACTTGCAACACCTTCCAAGGCTCTGACATTGTGACAGTAAACTTTGCCAAATCTCGTGCCAAGGCGAAATAGGGTAAAATTCCACTTCACCACAGTATGTACGCTGGTTGAATTTAGCAGCTCATAAAGTACACCATTCATTAACAAGCCTGAAACATCAAACTGACTTTATTTGATTGAAATACAAGTTGTGTAGACAAATACATGAAATAAGAAATGCAAGTAATCTGCCCCATTTTTAGGGTAGCCATATGCACGTTACTTGCACATATTATTTGTATGTACAAGGGGATAGAAATATTAGGCTGAGTAGAAAACTACTTGGCATACTAACAGCTTGACATGTAAAAATAGAAACCACATTCTGTGCTTGCACCGATGCACTAGAGAAAGTAGCTAGTTACAGTAGGCATATTTCAACAAACGCAACCTGCACATCAACCAGAAAATAATTAATTACATGCAAACTCTGGAAGAATACCAGCCTGACAACATAAAAAGCATCCATTATATGCCGAGTTGCCACCATTAAACACCGAGAACAATATCAAAGCATTGTTCTAAGAAAAAAAAAAATTAAACAATGACATCATTCAGTACAAAAGCTATCGAAGCTGCAGATTACAAAACAATCTAAAATGAAATACTTCCATATAAAATGCACGAGACATGTGGAAGTACGACGTTATGTGCAGTGTATCAAACTGCTGTGGTTACGGTAATACAAACAGCTACTCTTCAAGGCTCCATAATAAAAAAAAACAGACTGGAAATAGATAAAAACAATGGACAAGCACACACACACCGTCCAACAGTGTGTGTGCTTGTCTGTTATTTTATCTATTCCTAGTCTCAGGTTTTTCATTACGGAGTTAATTCACCAGCTCGCCTGTATATTTTCACTTTCATCTTCAAGGCACAGGCTAATGTACTGAAGTGTTAATTTGTCATTCAACACAATGTTCCCCCAGCAAAGAACAAAAGCCAGCGACTTTTTTGTAAGGAAAACTAAAGAGGAAAATTCTATCCATGCCACAGAGGCATGCATGCCCACATACATAGCAGCAAGTATTGAAGCGATGTACTAAGCTGTCATTGCTACAAAAGATAAATTTAACATCCAACACAGCGACACAGTGTCACCAAGTCTAGCGTGATTAGTCGCCTATTGCATATCTTAGTGCTGCAAACAACATGAAAGGGCATTGGCAGAGTGTGTTTGACATCTCCAATAATCAACATAAAATACTGTAACCAACTTTATTTTTTTGCAAGCTTGATATTTTGCAAATTTGGCCCAAGCTAGAATGTTGGAATATTTTACTAAATTTTGACAGGTGGCCTTGCTGAGAATGATACCGGGATGGAAAACCACCTCAGTATCAATCTCGGGAAGGCCAAAAGACAGACTAGCGTTCCCACTGACTCTGTTCCATGTGCTTCACTAACCTCATCCTCGAATCCACTTCTGAAAAGAATGAATGGCCTGCAGCCATAGGGCCTAGAGCACTGTAGCCAACCAGGTGATTTTAGGTTACAAACTGCTTGTGACCACCGTCACTGTAGTTACAAGCAAACATATAAAAAGTGAACAAACTTCAGCTCAGTGCGGCACATTTTCTTGCATAAGCAATTGCCTAGCTTCCCAACGCCTTTTCCAAGACAAAGAAGGGGTTGACCTCCCACATTGCTTTCACCTACTTCAAACCAGTTGCGGAGACCACAGCCAATCTCCATCACATCCTGGGACCGCCTGATTTGCAGGATAGCAAGACTGCAGGTGACATTTTTTTTGCACTAGTAAATAAAATACGATTGTAGCAGCCACACTCAAGGGCTCGTATAGAAGAATAAAGACACAATACAATCAGACTACTTTAACATACCAAGAGATGCCCCACCCCCGAAAGATAACCCACTATTTTTGGTATGACACACTCTTTTTTCAGAAACGCCAAAAGATAGCCCATTTTTTGTAATAGACCCTTTTCGAAATTATGAAACAATGTATAGATCAGGGGTCTCAAACACGCGGCCCGCGCGGTGGTTTCTTGCGGCCCGCGCAGCCAAGCATAAATAAATTTTTTCTTTTTTTAAATTTAATTTTGGCTTTTTTTCATTATGTCTTCACGTTCGCGCACCCCGAGTGTGTAAAAAGCTTGCTAAAATATAAAAATCCAAGCTGTTCGACTTTGACCATATGCCAGTATACATGGCGCAAACGTAGAGCGCAGTGTCATGAGATAGCGTCTGTGCAAGAGAGAGGGCCGCTTTTGGTTAAAAATAGATAGTCGAACCGGACGGAGTAGCCGAGGCGTTGGCAAAGGGCTTCCAAGAGTCCTTGGCGCAGAGTGTCGAAGCATAGCCTCCTATAATCCTGGTCCACACCTTCACATATGCGGATGGCGCATCCGGGGCAACTAATCTCACCCTCCATTCCACCCCACCTTCTTCCTAACTCCGTTCACCCCTAAGCTGACAGTGCGGTGGAAGCTGCACGCTCGCTGGGCCACTCAACTGTCGGCCTTGAACCATGTGACCACTGCGTCTCCGCGAACTCGTGCGCGTTGAGCGAGGTCAAGCGACAAGATTGGTCCGGCGAACACGTAGCCACCAGCGCACTGACAGCTTCGGGGTGAACGGAGTATAACCTCGTCAAAGCGTTGGGTTAACTCTCCCAACCACCCTTTTGTGTTCATTATCACTTCACTTATCCTTTGCACCCAAGTTTATCTCAGTCGAAACTGGTGGATTGATTCCATCGTTGTATGCTTCCCTTCAAGCTCTTGGAAAAGCATTTTACCCTCAATGCGATCACCCCTCTCCACGCCCAGAGTGATCTTCGGTTGACGGTGGCGTTGTGCACCCGAGATTTGCACTGATCAGCACAGGTTGTTGCGTTCTGTTTCAACGATTCAGTTTTGCGACGTCGACTCTTAAGCAGACATCACGATGTCGTTGTCCAAGCCGTCTGCAAAATGCAAAGGTGAAGACGAGAAGCGGCTCTTTCAAGAGCGATGGTAACTATCCTATTTCTTCACGGAAGCGCGAGACAAGGTGTTGCGTTTGATTCGTCGTCAGACTGTAGTAGCTGTGCCAAAGGAATATAATGTACGACGTCACTTTATGTCATGCCATCAAAAGAAGTATGAAGCCCTCGTCGGAAAGATCCACGAGATCACTGTGTCCCAACTTAAGGCGTCCCTGGGAAAACAGCAAGACCTCTTCCACAAGGCGGTCAAAACAAGCGACGAAACGGTGAGAGCCAGCTTTTTTGTTTCCGAGCTTATCGCCAAATCGCCCAAGCCATTTATTTACTGATGGCCTGTTCCTAAAAAAATGCCTCCTTGAGGTTGCTGATGCTGTCTGTCCCAGCATGAAGAAGACATTTGAGAAGATAAGCCTTTCCCCAAACACAGGGGCAGGAAGAATTAATGAGCTCAGTTAAAACGTTGAGAAAGAATTATTCGCCCGATGCAACGGCTTCAACGCATTCTCAATCACCGTCGACGAAAGCACCGATATTACCGACAACGCTCAGTGCGCCATTTTTGAAAGGGGCGTAAACAAAAATTTGGACGTCGCAAAAGAACTCTTGGATCTAGTTCCAATGAAAGGAACAACCACAGGTGCTGATATTGTTTCCACCATCGAAAGAGTGGTTGATCGTGCCGGGCTGCCATGGGAGAAGTTGGTGTGCCTCGCAACCGACGGCGCACCGTCAATGGTAGGAGAGAAAAGCGGCCTTGTCGGACGATTGAGGACGAAACTCACTGGACTGGATATCAGCAAGCGGTTTGCAGCAGTCCACTGCATTTTACACCATGAGGCACTGTGCAGCAAGTCACTGCAGATGAAAGGAGTCGTGGACATTGTGTTTGATGCAGTAAACTTGATTCGCTCCAGAGTGTTAAACCATCGACATTTCGTATCTCTGTTGGAGATGATTGGCAGCGAGCATAGCGAAATTTTGTACCACACTGAGGTACGGTGACTGAGTCGTGGGAAAGTTCTGAAGAGGTTTTTTGATCTTCGACACAAGATTGATACCTTTTTGAAAAGCAAAAACAAAGCCGTCGCTGAACTGTCCGACTCCAGCTGGCTTTGCTCCCTCACATTCCTCACCGAGTACCTGAGCCGTCTAAATGAGAAACTTCAGGGGAAGGACAAACTTATTACGACAATGTACGATAACATCCAGGCATTTCTGGGAGCGCCAAATGAGGCTGCTCAAACTCGACCATTTTCTGAAGCTCCAGTCACTAGGGCACGCAAGCCAAGAATCGTGCGACACCTTTTCGGACCTCCTGCGTGATCTCCAACAAGAATTCCAAGAACGGTTCCAGGACGTGAGCAAGCTGTCAAGAGAATATAAACGTTTTACTTTGCCCTTCTCAGTGCGAGTGGACGACGTTGCACCTGAACTGCAAGCAAACACTGTACTCAAGCAGAAGTTTGAGGATGTCGGAGTCCCGAAGTTCTACAAGTTCCTCGACGAGGCAAACTTCCCCTCGCTGTGCCAACAAGCAGTAAGAATAATCGCCATGTTCGGGAGCACATACTTGTGCGAGCAACTGTTTTCCTTGCTAAAGGTGAACAAGTCGACGCTTCGGTCAAGGATGGACCGACGAACATCTGCGATCGAACATAAGGATCGTCTCCGCACAAGGGTTGAAAGCGGGCATTGATTTATTGATTTTCTCGTCGCCGCTAAGCGTTGTCAGGTGTCAAGCCAGTGTTCATCAAATTTTAGCTCCCATATTTGTGGTTCACATGAATAAATATATCTTGGCCTTCATATATTGTTTTGGACATTACCTTTGTAATACTGCGAATTGCAACATAAATTACGCAGGTAAACTTTGCGGCAATGAGTTGTAGCATGGTTGGTGCAGATTTCGACTGTTGTCAAAAGCGGCGATGGTATCTGGCATGAACCCCGTGTTGGTCAAAATCAGAAACCGGACGTCACAGACTTCCTAATAGCGACGAATACAAATCCAACCCCCCCCCCCCCCCCCCCCCCCGCTCCCGACATGCCGACCCTTGCGAACCTAAGATTTCTGGATGCGGCCCGGCTTCTAACGCGAGTTTGAGACCCCTGGTATAGATTATGTACGGCCGCCATTAGTTGGTCATGCACTATCAGCACACATTGGACAAGAGTGCTTCGTCAGCATTCGGAGTGTACTCGAATCGAAAAGCATTCTACACAAGTGCTGCGTCATTGCGCGGCGCAAACTCGGAACCAATCACGGGCTACACGCTGGAAGCGATGAGGGTACGCATAATCTTTTGTTTAATTTCACAATTTCGGAAAGGGTCTATTGCAGGGCCCTGGCTAATGGTGACCCCAAATGGTGTTACTTAGCTAGGGCGGAAGATAAGCAAACATTGCTGACTGGGAAGGACAGTCATCTTTGGTTCATCGCCCATCCCTGAGATGACAAGCTTCGCAGGTCGCAAAATCTAAAACTAGCACTTTTTAATTTTTTTTTTTTCTTCATTGCACATTGAAAGTTAGTTTTCCTTATTTTCACCCGATTTGCTTTCGTTTTTGGGTGGGCTATCTCTCGGGGTATTACGGTACACTTCGCCAGGGGGAAAGCCAGTGAAGGTATGGAATAAACTTGTTCAGGTAGGCACGTGTTCGAACAAGGCTTATTTTTATATTGATAGGGACCTGCTCACAATCAGGTGTGATCTTATGAATGTGTTTTTGCGCGTTTATAGTTTTGCTAATGCTGACTGGTGCAGAGCGTCAATATTGGTTCTGAAATATCGACACTTGCCCGACTTGTTCGGGTGACCGCTTTTTTGCGAATAAAAATTTCCCGAAATGAGGTCCTCGCAAAAATTAAGTTGCTTGCAGTACTTGTCTAATAAATTTGTATTTTTCAGAAAAAAGAAATAGGTCACCTGACGATACATAACGCACTACGAAAGTATCAGCCAACCGTTAAGCTTGCGTGCATTACAGACATTGTTAAGATGTTCACACCACACTGCGATTTTGCTTCCGTTGCCCGATGGGGAATTTATGGCAAAACTGTTATTGATATGCAAGGTGGATGTAACTTCAATTACCATTTAGTAGTACACAAACACTGCCGTAATCTATACTAAAAAAGTTTTTTTTGGTCCGACAAAATTAAATTTTTATTACTGAAATGTTTTTCCAATAACGCCAGGATTCTTGATGCTTTGAGAAAGTTCATAGTAGAAAATCAGTTTTTTATCACCTCTGACGAGTTCCTTTAACCATGTTTTGTCACAATCACAAAAATTGTTTAAGAGTGTGAGCAAATTCAACACCATTCTTTTTTGAGCTGCTATGGGACAGTGTGTGTCCTGAAGCTTACACCTTTTTATACCAGTAAAAAAAACACAAATACGAGCACATCTGATACTGCAGGAATTCGAAAACTCAAAACAAAAACCAAGAAAAAAAATAAAATCACAAATATTGGCAGTAAAAGCATGAAATCGGCATTCTTTTAAGAAGCAGAGACAATATTTCCTACGTTTTCTTCCTTAATGTGCAATATAAGGACCTAGTTGAGAAGAGAGAAAACTACTAGCAATTAAACTCAAACGCTTTTACATTGATATCTTGTGCCAAATTCTGTTGCATATATACCGTAAAATACCGAGCATGCACCCATGTCACAGCAAGCGCCCACCGGCAACTTTTTAAATGTTTGAAAAGTGAGCCAAGGAAGTGTCAAGTGCCCACCCCAAACGGCTAAGCCTGCCTAGCAAACCGAGATGCTTCTCTGCATCAGCCGCTTTTTCAAGCATGCTGGTGCGAAGAAGTAAAGTCTGACGTACGTGCACTGAAGCAAAGCAGTCAAGTCCACCTTACTGTGGAACTAGAATGACCTTAATCTACAGTGTAGAAAACGGGACACCAAAAGGGAGGGGGGAGCAGGGCCGAAAGAAAAAGCAAGCTCCGTTACTATTCAGTTCACTGCACACTTTTCCCCAGTTTTTTGTTTAGTCGAGTACACGAGCACCTTTGTCCTTCATTTTAAACAAAACCGAAGCATGCCACATATAGTAATATAGAAAAAGTCCCCCAAACAAACATCTGTGCAAACAGATTGTATTAACAGATAGAAACACAGAAAGAGCTCTAAATTTCCTCTGTGGGAAATACATTTTTATAGTATGTTTATTTTTGTAAAATGTATTATGTATCCTTTTAGATTCCTTCCACTCGCATAGTACTCATATCGCAACTATGCGCACATTCCCATGAAAACTGGACACGAGGCTTCGTTGAGAAAATATAAAGGGACGGTAAAAATGCACCCGTAAAACGGGACTGTCCCGGTCGAAAAGGGACGTCTGGTCACCCTATCTGGAACCCAGCAAGTGTTTACCATCCAGTTTTTAAAGATTATCTCTAATTTTGGGTGGGCACTTGCTCAGTACATTACGGTACTATAGTATTTTTGTACAACCATATAATAGTGTCAGAATTAGTATAAATTTCCTAGAAAATATCCATACAAGGACTTATCTCCTATTGTGGAGCAGAAATTGTTCACCTCCTCAATCATGACGAGGAAAGAGTGGCCAAAACTCTGCAAGTGATGCTGCCATCTTACCTATTCCCAACTTCAATGGCGTGCATTTAATACCCCTTTCCTGCTTCACATTTCGGCGCTGCACCAGTTAACACATTCTAATGAACAGGGCGCCTCAGTCATCACTTCCCCTATCACAATTTCATAAAAAATTTTAAGCAGTTGTTCACACAGAGATTTATTACGGTGTTCTATGAACCCATGCAATCATTATGCAGTCACCAAGTTTCACGTCTCACCATATAAGCTCTTAGGTCCATCAAAACATTTACCCTCATACACAATTTATGAAGGGATAAAAACGTGTGTTAAAAACTTTGCATACTGTACTACCACCCTGCTGATACACAGACTTGCAATGAAAAGCAATTTGTCTACCAGACATAAATAAACACAAGTTCAGTGAGCACTCAAACAATTTCAACAGATGCACCTCACACTGGCACCACAGCACTTCCTGCTCATCATATTTCTGCCGAGTGTTTATATATAAAAATGGAGAATTGGAATTGGGCTTCGAAAAGCAAATAAGTAAGAATTGCTCAAGGTTTGAATAGTGACTCAATGAAGAGTTTCCCATTCAAAACAATGATAATGCTGACAGTGTGCACTTTTTACTTATACAAGGTGCTTGCTTTCAATTCAAACAGATAAAAAAAAAAAGGGAAAAAAAAGAGGGAGGGGAGTTAGATGAGTGCCATTGTCACCATGTATTTATCAGGTTCGGCGAATATTAGATGAGAGGATAATCATCATGGTGAGTAGGCTAATTAACTGAAATCCATTCATTAATTCTGTATTAATTGGTTTAAGGGGTCATGCTGCAATTGCAGTATTGAAGGCAATTACCCTTAGAGACCAGGCCAGTTAAAAGAATTTGTAGAAATGTAATGTTTCATTAAATATTAATTGATAAATTTTCAAAATTTTTTAATCAGATTTAAAAATTGCGAGCAAAAAGTGCACTGCAAGCCTTGCCCACAATAAGAATAATGCTTAGAAGAGTGACATAGTCGTTTCAATCATGTCGTCCCTATCTTGACAGTGTCCTTGGTGGGAATGCAGACGACACAAGAGACAATGTGACTGAAACAACTACATCACTGCTCTAAGCGTCATTGTGGGCAGGGCTGGTGGCACGCCTTTTTGCGGGCAATTTTAAAATTGGGCTAAGAAATGTGAAAAATTATCAATGATTATCTAAAATTATTAAAAAAAGTTAACGAACTAATTAACTCTTTCCTGGCCACAAAAAATTGGCAATTTTCAAGGGATTCGTGCAAACGCTTTTATTTTCCTAACTTGCGTATTGAGCAATACGACACAACAAAATGTGGCCAATTAGTTGTTCTTTCAAAAGAAACAGAGGTTGGTATAATGTGAAAACAAAATGTTAAAATTTTATCTGTTGAAAATATAATGTGCGGAAGGCGTATAAATGCCGCAACTTCTACAGGGTATGTCAAATTAAACGTCAAATAAAAAAAAAATTCCAAATAAACAAAATGTGCCCCACACCAATGGCTATTACTTCTGAAAGTTGGTGTACTTTAACTGACGTCTATTTTTGGTTCGTCACACAAATGGGTCACCTCACATCCCCAGAAGAATGCTTTTTTGTGATATGTTGGTTGTGTCATAGCCTTGATTGCGGTTCCTTCATATTTAACATCTTTGTCCGCCTTGTTGGGAACATAAAAAGTGCACGGCAGCTCAGGACAGCATTGAAAATCATAGTGATGCTTACCGACAAACATTTGTTAAACGACGCCTCTAACACAATTTAAAGTGTGCCCAGAGCTCTTGAGGTCTAGAAAAGATGCCACAATATAGTTGAATTATGAAAATAATGCAATTTTTGTTACAAAGACTGATGCAAGCAGTAAGTCATGTTAGACAAGTGCAACCACCGATCCCAGGACCATTTTTGACAACTTACCAGCTTGTGATAAACCTCAAACCTACGTTGAAATCGAAACTAGAGTTCTTCGGCTATCCACGAGATTGTAGAACATGATTCTCCGCACTAAATTTAATTTTTTGACGACGCTTAGAAGCCATAGATCACTGGTAGTCGATGGCCAATGGGGAGGTCAGGAAAGAGTTAATTAGTCAACTTACCATGACGATTATCCCCTTATCTAATATTCACCGAGCCTGACAAATGCATGGTGAAGATGGCACTCGTCTAACTTTCACCCTGTTTCTATATAAAATCTGTGCAAATCAAAATCAGACACCCTGTACATATGCCGCCACTCACTCTTCTTTGTGCTGGAGCAAAGCTGTGCTGGAGCAAAGCTGTGCTGGACCAAAGCTGCGCAGAAACGCCTCAGAAAGGTGGAAAACTGCACTCACAGTTTCTGCCTTAGTTAAGAACAAGGGTACATGGGGTGTATATCAAACAAAGTACCACTGCTGACCATCCATACTACCATAAATAACATTCCTGAGGATGTTCGAATTTACCCCCAGATTGAAAGTGAAGGTCAAACCAAATTTCCTCCTAAAACAAGAGATGCTTGCAACTAAAATTACAAACGAAGATATCAGAGCTGATCACCAAATGCAACGGCTGGGAAGGCACATTCCCCAACAAAGTATTATCAAGGTTAGACCACTTTTGTGTTTAACCCAAGAACAAAATAGCCTCTTTACCTTCTCAGATATCCTCATACCTTTAGCAGAGTTATGCCTTTATTTAAGCATTCCAAATCTCAATCTTAATGCCGTATTGCTCCGAGCCTCCAAATTTGAAGAACCATTCCAGCTAAAAAAAAATTATGCATTTCTCATTTTGAATAAAACCCCAAATTCCATATCTACACATGCCCTTTTATATTTCAAAGCAACATCTCACAAATTTTATTTGAAATTGAATTGGAAAAAGAGAGAATTTACACATCTTCCTGAAGTGTGTTGTGACACCCCAGGTAACAATGGGCTATTTCCCCTTTGTTACACACTCACTTTTGCCCCCCATTTTATCTCCTTTGCACAGATACAACCAGCTTTCTCCCCATAGGAGAGGAGCACTGGAACATGGTTCCTCTGCCCCAAGGCCAACAAGTCAAATACAAAACTGAAAAGTAATAAGCAAATCTCTCACCTTTCGATGGTGACTATCAGATAAAATTATCACTATTCTCATTTTTAATTTCACCGATTTGACTGAATTTGCTCAGTTAGTAGATTGAGACCACAGCAGAATTTTCTGCCTGGAATGGCCCTTCAAAGATAACCAGGGCAGAAAAAAATTTTAATAGCTAAGATTGCAACGAAACAAGCATGTTGCCCTTAGAACATGCAATCGCCACCATCACCACTCTAGTTTCGGGATGATAGAACTTAAATTAGCTTCTTTATTGCTATCTACAGGTTTCTAATAACAGGAACTCCCAGAGACCATTGTTCCACAAATAATTAAATTTAAAATTTCGGAAAAGTCCACCAGAGTTTCACTCCTTCAAGTTAAATATTACAGGAAAATGCTGCATGCCAGCTTGCAAGGCAGCAGTGTGGCACTTCAACAGACAAAAAAAAACAATAAAAAAAACAAACAAAGGGGACATTGCTACAATTCGACTGCTTGTTGTGCAGCCAGGCCTTCACAGTGTCCAGGTCCTGTGACAAGCACTCCACCGCCACTCAAATCCTCATTCAATCTTTCATGAGGAGAGATTCCCATTTCCTTGCCAGAAATCCCTTCCTGTATAAAACAAATGGGAATAGGAGGAAGGGGGAGAACAACACTGCTAAATTAGATTAAACATATAACTTAAAAATTGTATTTTTTTTTTTACGGCATTAGTACTGCGCTGATTGGCGTGGCTCTAGTTTTTAGTGGCAGTCTTGTTCCTTCTGTAAAGTGTAGTTAACTTTGTCATTAGCTCCAAAAATACAAAAAAAAAAGATTCAAAGTATCTAAGATGTTTTGAAGGGTGTCAGAGTAAAAGCAGGTATTGTTTCATGTCATTCGACTAAATTTTGATTTGGAGCTTTATGCACTGCCAAGAAACAAATGAATAAACTTGTTATCCTGCAAACTGCACCTTATCTATAAAAAATGATATGAAGAAAATAGGCAGTCAGGGTTCTCCCCATGGTGGGCGGCAGTGGCTTGGCCGCCCCCGCCCGCTGCTCCGACTGACCGCCCGTTGCTCGACAGATTGCCCACTCCTGAATTATGCCAAAGGATGATGATGCGATTTTGCCTGCACAAATGGCTGCAGACCGTCATACTCGGCAGACCTGCACACCGCCACCTTATTGCGTGTCATCGCATCACCCACTGCCGCCACTTTTTCAAACAAGGAGAGCCGAGGCAGAGCGCCGCTGGCAGTAAAGGGGAGGGTGAGAGGGTGGGGGGGGGGGGGGGGGGGGGGGGGGGGGGTGCTCGGCCGAGGAGACACACAAAATAAACAGACGCCACGAACGCGCACCACTCAGCAGTTCTCTCCGCAAACGATGAGAGGCAGCGAGCAGAAAGTCGAGAGGACTTTTCTTTCACTGCCCAATGCTTGCTTGCGCCCGTGGCTTGCTTTATCTCCGCCTCTTCGCTCCCTCCCCACCTTTCCTTTTCCACTTTTTTTCTTCTCCTAGGCATTTGGGTTTTTGATTTATCACTGCGGCGTGGCGCCACTCACAGAAGTCAGAATGCCTACGCAGTGTGCGTTCTGTCGGCAAGCCACATCGTGCCGCCCCATTGCAAACTTCTGAATACATACCGTTTTTGCACGATTCTAACGCGCACTCAATTATAATGCGCAGACAGATTTAGCTCGCAGATATTCAAAAAGTAAACTGCTGTCGATTCTACCGCATAGGTAAAATAATGAAGACTGAACACATACCTCATAAAACAGATTTAGTGAAAGGCATGCCACCACAAAAATGAATACCGTGCACTAGTCGCCATTGTCAAAATTCGATAATGGTTCTTCGCCACCCAAAGAGGTAATCCTTGCTTTCGTCTAAAGCGTTTTACGGGACGTGCTTCTTGCACTTGTACAAGTGCGCGACCGTCGCCTCTGGGAGGGCCGTCTTCCAAACACCACTTTGCGAGCTTGTCGTGTCGCTGGGATTGCGAGGCCACGCAGTGCTGCTCCGTCATTATCTTTTTCCCGCCACCATGATAACCTTTCCTTTAAATAAAGCCTCCTAGTGGAATTTCTTTTGTTTTTGCATTTTAAAACGGCAGACACGAGTCTGTAGACAAGAGAGAGAGTACGCATGATAGTATGGTTACCAAAAGGCGAATCAAAAACAAACAGTCGTGATGGCGATGGGGCTAGCCACCTTATATTGAGTATTGTATTTTTCTTTTGAGTTTCGGTTTTTGGTTTTGATTGTAACGAGCATGTAATTTTGGGCACAGATTTTGTTGGAAAAAGTGTGCGTTAGAATCGTGCGAACATGGTAACTTGTCAAAATTCAGGCAGATGTCATATGGACCTAATTGTCTTCCACAAACATGGACAAGACAAAAGTGTGCATAACGTTAATCGGAATGAGCATGAAGCATGTTAAATCACAATTTGAGAGCTTCAACCCCTTTATAGTCTAGCAGATTAGTAGCTTAGAAGTAATCATTGAAATTCCGCAAATTTTTGTCGTGCTGTTCAAAGCACCAAGGTCATAATCATTGTTTAATGGGTCATATGACTTGCGGATTATACAACATTTTCGCGTGGCCCATGACAGTAGTGTAACTGGGATTCCACTCTTGCCAACCAGAAAAGACTCTTGAATCATCACCGCCTACCTCGACCTGAAAACCAAGGCGGTTAGGATTTTCGGGATTCTGGTCCTTCTTGCTCCTTAGCAAATTCTTTCACATTCCTGAGATCCTGAGATACTAATTTGGCTCACCTGTTCAAGTCCAAGTGCTCCTGGAGGTGGAACGATGGGGATAGCTGCTTTCGGCCTCCTAGGTGGAGTGGACCTCTGCTTGTGCTGCTGACTTTGGGTGTTGTAGTAGGTAATGTCCCCATGGTAGAATGCTTTCTGGGTCTGCGACTGGGTCAGGGCAGGCTGTCACAAACAGCAGCAGAACAAGCAAGTCAGTTGCAAGGTTACAGCAAAAACCTGACAGTAACAAACACACTAAACTTTAGTATATACTTGAAGTCGGACAAACATTCAAAGAAAGTATTGCAATTCAATTCTTCATATATAACGTGGACGGAATATGACTAATGTTTTCTCCAAGATCAGGGGTTCTCAAACTGGGTTCTGGGGAACACAGGGGTTCCACGAGCTGGTCTCACGGGTTCCGCGAACACCCAAATTGCAACCCCCCTCCCCTCCCCCACCCCCCCAACATGCCGCAGGCTGCGCGGCAGGACCATGCAAGGCGCCTTCATCTCACTTTGTACTGACATTGCAATTGACATGGTGGGGATATATGGGAAGCAACACAAGCAAAATTGCCTATAATTGTGCGTCTGTTGCCTCTCGGTAGGAAAACATGGATGGGAGGGGAGGGGGGGGGGGGGGGGGGGGTTCCGCGGCAGTTTTTTAGGCTTCCTGGGCCCGTTTGCTTGAAGCTGGTTAACTAACCGCGGTTAACCGGATTTCCCTACGAGGGGGAATTTTAGGTCATGTGACCGGCAGAGCAAGGACGGCGCGGAAACATGGCGATGCCCCGGTGAGTGAGCGTCGCTCGCTTTGGAACTAATACGTCGTTGTAGCTGCAATATTGGGCGCGTTTGTCAACAATGAATGGTGCAGGAGACTTTCGATTTGCCTTACCTCACTTAAAACGCAAAGCATGAGCAATCACCTCGCCGCATTTTTCAGATAGTCTTTCGATTCTGGCAATTCCTAAGCCTAAATGAACGCGATGGTTGTCGGCATGGCAACGTCTTTGAAAAGTGGATTGCCTTGACTCAATTGGCCGGGTACTGATAGCACACAAAAGCAGACAGCGTCCCCATAGACCTTTTGCTAAATTTCCCAAGCACCGAGGTGCATGCTACGATACTCCGTTTCACCTTATGCTGTAGCGCAGAGAAGGCTAGAAGCGCGAGCTCATAGCATTAGGAGCAGCTCTCAACGCACGCGAGCTTGTGCCGCCGAGATGTACCCTAGAGCAAGGAGCTCGTGCTTTTAGCCTTTCCTGCGGTACATCATGAGGTGAAACAGAGTAGAGTGTAGTTACACGCGCCGCGCGTGCTGGCGTCTGCAGTAGTAAGTATTGTAAAGCAAAATGCCTACAACAAATTTTGACGTGCACGCGCGTTCGTCAAAGATTTATTATGATTATTTACTTCGAATATTCTATAAGTGGAAGGCCAGCGCGCGCGGATCGTTGAATTACACTTCCAGTGTTCTCCTCGATGTTAGGGTAATTTACTAATAGGTCAATTTTCACTGGAACCGAATTACAGGTTTTTCAATTTATGACGGTGTTATATACAGTTCTTACATGCTGGCCAACCATACTGCCGGTGTAACGCCCGCCTTTCATTGCTCACTTCTTTCTCATCGTTTCTAGGACTGAACTTCGTCGTCCACTTTCGAACTTGGAAGGAAATTTCAACGAGGCTGGTCTTCACTTCAGACAGCCAAACATTTAGAAATTTTCCAAACAAGGGTTAATTTAGTTTTACCTTACCGATTACCTGTACCACGAGCAATAAAAATTGTTTCTTGAGCTCAAATGTATGCCGCGCTGTGTCGCGAAAACACGGTAGCGCGCATTTTTGGGTCCTCCCATTTAGGGAACCTCTCCACAGAAGCCACTTATATTTGCTACAGCCAGGAGGTGACACCAGCTACCACCCAAATAATAAAACACGGAGCTATCGCTCATCCAGCCCTCGTCAAACTTGGCTAGGTACTCTTAGGTACCTAGTAGGGAAGGGCGGTTAACTTTTAACCGCGGTTAAAGTTAACCGGCTTCGAGCAAACGGGCCCTGGGGTTCCGCGAGGCCAAAAAGTTTGAGAACCCCTGTCCTAGATCAAAGGTACTTTAAACAGAGTAGTAGCCAGTGCATTGAGTGATCCCTTTGACAATGAAGAACTACCTCAGACAAAAAATGAAAGATTAACATGTCTTAAAAAACAACGTAGGCAAAGGAAAAAAGTTTAGCTTGAATGGAAAAAAGATGTTATAAATAAAAATTTACAACGAAAAAACTTTTTCTAGATCTACATTCACGGCACGAAACAAACTTGTAGTTGGCGCCCGCGGAAAAGTGGCACATACCAGTCACATGACTGGCCACTAGTCATGTGGTGCTTGCACTCTTTCGGGATTTTCCTATGGGCTCTAAAAATTACTTATTATCTTTTTTTTCCCCACTTTTCTAATAACATATTTTGATGTTTGAGAAGCAACAAGTATAAGAAAATCTACTTGGAAAGGGAGCGTGCTGGTAAGGGAAATATAAATAAAGGGAAGAACAAACACGCCACAGTCTATCCCCCATGCAAGAAACAGTGCGTTTACTCCATCCCCCTCAGCTGCGGTTCCCAACACATCGGCCAGTCCGGTCGATGCATCAACGACAGAGTTCGGGAGTATGCCAATGAGGTAAAAAAATGCTGCCCTCAGTCCCGAATTATCACCCTATCGCCAAACACGTCGCGACTTGTGCATCGTGTACCCCCAACTTCGAGGCCACATCAGTGCTAGCTTCGCACAGGTCGCAGTACAGACGGGAAATTTTGGAGGCCTTCAACATGCACCACAGCCCTACAAACATTGGTTCCCCCCCTACCCCCATCCGAGGCCGACCTTGCCTTTCTCCGACCAGAACTTCAGCCTTGACCTCCCTCTGTCTCCTCCACCAGTTTGTTAGGATTCTTCTGTTTCCCCATTTTGCTATCCATGCTATTTTGGTTCCTTTCTTGTTTACCCTTCCCCTGATAATACGCTCCTCTTCCTCCTCCCTCGGGAGAAAAGACTCCGGCCCATCGGAGTCGCCGGAGTGGTCATTAAATGTTTGCTGCCAGTTGGGAAACGTCTCGTCCGTCCTTGTCTTTTATTTTCTTCCCTTTATTTATAAAAGAAAATCGTCACTTCCGTTTTGAATCATTTGAAAACAAAAAAAAAAGCTTTGCCATTTTCTGTTCGAAGGGGCGTGGTGTCACATGTCTTAGTTTCTAACATGTCAGTTCCCCCAAAGCGCCGCTGCCGCTCACGAGGACTGCAGCCCTTTGTCAGGCAGTGGCGCCGCTGCTCGACGAATTAATGTTTGCGTTGGCTTTGTCCAACACACTTCAAATGTTGCCCTCGGGTTCAAGTTTCAAGGAAATAATGAATAGCCTGCAGCGATAGGTTCATAAACATAAGCAGTCAAGTGCAAGTGATTGCAGAGTAAAAACTACTTGTGACAGTCATCACCAGGGGTGTTGCTACTGTCACAATCCAGAAAAAAATGGGAAACACTCCATGTCAATGCTTCCTTTGAGATAAAGTGCCTCTTGCAGTGTCTTCACTCTGCTACTTCAAAGCTGTAGACCGCCTAGACCTGAAGAGACCATTTTGAAGCCTTCATTTACTGTTCCCTCTCTGAGGCGATGTTTTTGTGGAGATCTTTATTTCATAAATCTAATTCTGTTGGCGGTAATAAGAAAAACAACAATGAACAACTCTGAAGTAAAGGGAAAAGACACGGGACAAGGGCCTGCTCATACTGGGGGAATTAAGTCATGGGCTTCTGAAATAGGGGCTTTAGAACACTGGGCGAAAAGAATAGGGCGTTTGCCGCGGAGCTTTTGACTTGGGTTTTTGACATCAGGTACTTCCGTGCACCACCCTCGCTTGAAGGCCAGTTCACACATACATTGCAGACCTAAATCACCGCTGACTTCAACTTAGCACTGATGCAGTGCTGTATTAACACTATCGCTAATACAGCATGCAGTCAAAGCTACATCAGCAAGGTTAGCACTAGCTCCAACACAGACTAATAGCTCTGTAGCTCTGTGGCGTACAGGGAAACGGGCCTTAAAGGGCCCCTGAAAAGAAAATAAAAAAGTGTTATTTTAAACAGTCTGGTTGGGACACACGTATCAAAAAATAAATTTTACGCAAAAAAAAAAAAAAAAAGAGTTTTTTTTAGCAAAAATGACGGCGAGAGATTTATTTGAAATTCTGCGCGCAAAGTCCACGAAGTCACGAAATTGTACTTCGCTCTGTTGACCTCAACGAAATGGTCATTTGCTCTTTCCGCCTCAACGTGATGGCAAAGCTAATCCACCTTTTCTCCATGCGCCCGAAATGCCGAGAGAGAAAACAAGTGGAAAGAAGATGACTACCAACTAAATCGCGTCTCGCGATTTAGTTGGTAGTCATCTCGCGTAAAATTTTCGCGTAAAATTAATTTTTCGACACGCATGCCCCAACCCGACTGTTAAAAAAAAACATTATTTCTTTTCAGGGGCCCTTGTCTAACGAGTGTCTACTGACATAAAAAGGACCACGCACCGCCTGAGGTGGCGCTGGCGCAGGTGGGGCAGTGAACTGGGCCGGGAACGAGTAGGGCGCATACTGGGCAGGGAAGCCCACCAGGCCAGTGGGAGGCAGGAAAGACGCCGGCAGCTGACCTGCTGCTATCACAGGCGGAGGCGGGGGCTGGCTCGGGCTCAGCACCGGCGGTCGCTGGGCCGGAGGCAGGACAGGGCCGGGGGCCAGTGTGCCCAGGCAGGCCGCCCCACTGCCAAGTACTGCTGCTTCTCGGGGAAGACACGGGTAAGGCTCTGCTGGGTGACCACTTGCAACTGGATTCGAAGGAAATCGTAAACATTAACCCTTAAACTGTGAAGAGCAGCATGGACAAATTCTCGATAATCTCCTGCACTTATTGATTTCATTCAGTATAGTACCAGTGTGCCTTTGTGTAATTAGTGCTACGCGATGCATGTGAACATTTTCCGTATTGTGTTTATTGATCATTGGTCACCGGCGTCCGATGGTTGCCGTGTCCCATTGCAAGGCCTCCAATGCCTTTTCTTTGTACATTGTGCCTTCAGGTAGATAGTTTAGAGGCTATGGCTATGGTTTTGGTCTGGTTCTTAACTTTTCCACAACAAGGACCCACGCATCTCTTGGTTCCCCCTTTCCCATCGACACAAAGTAAACAAACTATGATACGAGGCAGTGGTTTTCTTAGGAGTTCTTCAAGTTCACCCACTACAAAAGGAAAATTCATTTATCAAAATCAAAATCGTTCATTTAATTCCAGCACCTCACAACACCTGCGAGGGCATTATGGTGGGTGAGGGACAGACAAGTAAACGACGCCACAGCAGAACAAAGAAAGCACGCAAGCACGCATTGCCTACAGCGAAACGCAGATCTCGAAGAACCAGCCCACACTATACCAGAAGTTTCTGTGCTAAATAAAAACTAAATGATGCATTATCATGAAAAACTGAAGACTGAAAAGTGCTATCGAACATGTTATATCCCTCAAGTGGCACGCCAATTCAGAAATGTTGTAAATTTCACGATTCAAGTGGAAATGTAGTAGACTTTGGTTGATGAGAGCAGCACTAGAGTAAAATGGTGATGCCAGGCATGTGTTTCACTACTCCAAGGAACTGCTTTACTCAATGGCATGCATGCCATGGTGATTTATACCATTTGGTACAGCTATTGCTACTTGCAGCCTATAGGTACTTGTGGTCAATTGCTATTTGCAGCCATTCCTGACGATGAAATGCTACATATTCTGGAATTCTTAAGTTGACATTTTCTTTCAGGCTACCCATACATATCTGTCCTTTTTCCTGTGCTGGGGACTGTAATTATGGTGTTCAGAAATTAATTTTCTGTTTTACTAGGTTCATGTCCAATACTGCCATTATTTAAAGAGGCATTTATTTAGCTAAATTTTGGTGCATTAATTTCTAAAAAAAAGAAAAAAAAAAAGATTTTAAGTGGGAAAAAAGATTCTGGCCAAAAATGGAAACTTTTCGCATGGTAAGGCCCCAGCTTAGCACACACTTCCTTGGCTAAATTTCTCACCTATATACTGTATCTCATTAGTTGCACTCCGTGCAGTGGAAGCCACGGGCAGGAGGGAGAGGAAAGCCGCTTTTGTACAAATTTTGAGTGACTGGCTAATTTCTGAAAGAGTGAAAAACGACTGGAGGGCATACAAAAGAGGGTCTGAGTAAGAGGGGAGTTCCTTCTTCCCTTCTCCAACGACTTGGCTTACACGCTCGCTTCCACACCTATTGAGATAGAGTATAGAGCAAATGCCTTTGTAAAATCAATCAACATATCATTTGTTTGTACTTCTGCATAAGTATTAATGCGCAAATCATAGACAAAAAGAGTTGGGTGTTGCAAGGTTATTTTTTCTGAACCAGTGTTGATTGGGAAATAAATCGATTTCATCCGAGTGTGCCATGATGTTCGTAAAAATGATTGTTAGCAAAAATGACATGTTCCACTAGTTTACAGGGTATACTTGTGAGGGATATAGGACAATAATTAGACGGATTTGATGTGTCATCCAATTTTAAAATAGATTTAATAATTGCAGAACGCCAATCGGATGGAATATCCCTGGAGTTGAGGCTCTGTTGGAATAGTTCATAAGGTGATATAAAACAGTTTGTTATGTTCAAAAACTTCTCTGGTATGGAATCCCCTCCAAGGGCACTGGTAGTCCAAAGAGATTCTATTCTCTTTTAAATGCCACTGCTACTGAATTCGATGGAAAGCATACTAACAAACAGTGGCTCAGAAATTGGAGAAAGGGGGAATGTTTCCCGTGTCAATACCCTTGAGAAAGCTAGTTAAGGGGGGTTATGGGTCTTCAGAGGCAAAAAATTCCAAAAACTTCATTCTTCTGAAAATGGCTCTACAGCTGTTGCTTTTTTTAATCTACCAGGTTTCTAATTTCATGGGTGAATACTTGAGTTATAAATCAATTTATGTCTATGCAGGCTGAATGTGCATTGAAGTCGATTCTTAAACACAGTTTTCACAAAACACAATTTTTGGAATTTTAGAAAATTTGCAGGAGGGATATCTGAGCATCTAGGGCAGATAGGAAACTTTTCCTGAAACATGTAGCTAAATGTCAGATGCATACAATGTTGAGAGCAGATTTCTTGATATAGGTTTAAGAATTCTTTTGAAATTTTGTTTTATTACTTGTTAGCTACACATTGAGCACTCAACTTCAATGTGTGATAAAATCACCAATAATGGGTTAGTCTTAAAAGTGCTTCCAACATTGTATTCTCTACACTTCATAGTATCTAGCCATGTGTTGGAGAATATTTTGTTGAGTAGTTTTTTGCCTATTGTTCCTCCGAACAGAGGCGGGCGAGTTTTATTATCATGAGGACAATTCTACTGACTGAGAAAATGACCAGATATTAGAAATCAACCCAAAAAGCTGAATAAGCTTGAGCAGTTTCATTAGGTTTGCTCTTAAAATAAGAAAAAAAGCTCCAAGTAAATCTGCAACTTCAAGATCGTCCAGATGGTAGTGCAAAAGCAAAAAAACAAAAAAAAAACAAGGAGTTTGGGTACTTTGAAAACTTATGACCCAGTGTTTTCATACTTCATTGGCAGACAGACCTCACTCACTAGTCTTAATTTGCACATTTCTTTTTTTTGTATCGTTAGGGGAACAGTATGATAATATAGGGTTCTTGCAGATTTTTAATTAAGAGAAGTCAGGTATCTCTAATAGTTGACACTTCTCAAAGAACCCCATAAGAATAGAATACACCAGACATAATGCTTTCAAGGACGTTATTGCCCAGGTGACAAGTAATCTTCCTAAGTGGTGTTTATTTAGCAATATTTTAGAACTGAAGAGGCTAGCAGAAAAGTATTTGGTCGGACGCAGACAAACCAATAGGAATGCACCTGATTAAATTGTAAGCTTAAAACATTGTACTTTGTTATTTTAAGGCTTTTGGAGGACATCCCAAATTTTTAACTTTTAGTGCAGTTGTTTGTCTGCTCTCTACAAAAACTTTCTAGCAGAAATTTGAGTCAGTTTACTCTATACTCAGTTACAGGTTAAGAAAGGTTTTTGAGGGAAAGGAAGGCTGAGGAGGAAGCAGGCGGAGCACTGGAGAAAGGAGATTTCCTTCTCTCCTCTCCAGCATTCCGCTTGCTTCAACCTCCCCAGCCCTCCTTTCCACCGAATACTTTTCTTAACCTGTAACTGACTATAGCGTGAAGGAAGGCTACCAGAATAAACATACAGGAACATTGTCCCTCGCGGCTTTGGCTCACAAGTCAGTGCTGAAAACGCATGTCCAACAATTGTCAAAACAAAAGCTATGTACAAAAGAAAAAGGCTGGATCTGATGCCCACCTTTCAAAGAATCAAAATACAGCTCTGAAAAAAGAGCACATAAGACCTAGATCTATATTTTTCACTCCCATGTGTAGTTTCTTGGGCATGACAAAGAAATGTATACCATACTGTTTGGACTATAAGTCGCACCCCTTTGCATGGTTCACGCGAAATCGGAGTTTCGCACAATTGCTAGATCGCACATACAGTTTTCCGCGTATTTCCTCGCGAGAAATGCCCATAGTATGGTGCTGTCTGGCGGGGGCAATCGAGTGTTTCGCAGCAAAAAGACGTAAAATGTGCAAAATGAGAGGGTAGTCGACTTTATTCGAGCAAACGCATGCCGAGCAAACGAAAGTTTAAGGAGCTAGACACTAGTGAACCAAGCTTTGGAGCACTAGGCCTAGCCTAGACCAAGTCCCGGAGATGACGCGAGCATCGCTGCACAGGCAGGAAGATAAACCTTGACATGCTTTTTTTTTTTTGGTACCTCTAAAAGATCGGCTAGCCACAATCCTTACTTTTACATGTAGCAACACGGCTGGAGCATGGCACAAAAAAACTGCTCATCAAACGGAAACTAAGAAAGACGTGAGAAAATATTCTGCAATGCGTGTATACCAGCCCACTTACTTTTCAGTGTTACTGGACTGAAGCAAAAAAGAATACGGAACCATGGCTGAACTAGGCAACATCAATAACATGCTGTAAAAGCTTCATTCTCACTGTCTTGCCTATCCACAGTGAGCCGCTTCGGGGAAACCATAAAAATTAAAATATCTCGCATTCCCAGTCAAAATAGTGCGGCAACAGCAGTGCCTCCTGGAGAGGGAAACACCGCCTATGGCTACATAGTTAGGGTGCTCTACAAAAAATGGTGCGCATCGTATAAAAAAAACAATGCTGCACCTAAAAGAAAAACAAAAAAAAGGGCTTATATAAGTTGCATTGTTGTATAAGTCGCACCAAGAAAAATGTTGAAAAAAACCACGACATATACACCAGAAAATACGGTACTTTACCAGCAGGGACTACTTTCAACATATGGATAGTGAGGCAGCAGCATCACTTTATGCACCTTGTCAGGGGAGAAGGGATGTGATCAATTTGACTCTTTTAAAGAAAACTAAAAGATGACACCAATGTATAATGTCAAGATTTTACTTGCCCATGCTGATTACCAAGCATTACAATCTATTCCAAGTACTTAGTCAACAATACACAAACCACGACTACCAGAGCTAAAATTTAAAAAGTGTCAATGCAAAGGTTTCAGTTATAGTTTTAATGTAAACTAGCAAATAGACTCTTCTCAAAAGTCCATCAGGCAACGTTGGAGATCGCCATTTCTTGGGCATAAAGTGTGTGACAATCGGAGTCCTTGCCAAATGCCGCCGCAGCGCTCGTTTTTGATACGAGTTGAGCAGAGCTCACTTTGAACACTGA